CCCAGCCGATCCCTCCTGCCCTGAGGTCCGCGCCTCCTCCACCCTGTGGGGCCCAGACTGGGGGAAGGAACAGCCTGGCAGGGATTTGGGGGACCCTGGGTTTCTCCTCTGGGGGGACACTTTGCACCTCCTTGCTTAGGAGCCGCGCCCCCACGCCCTCCCCCCACATCTGCCGCACCCACCTCTGCAGACATCGGGGTCCCGCAGGGTCGTGGCAGTGGCTTTACCTCCGTCTCCCCACCTTTCAACCTCTACCCCACAGGGCAGAGACCCTCCCCGTCCCTGCTGACTGTGGTTTGAGATCTGGGCTGTACAGGCCGGCCCACCCGTCAGTCCCCGGCCCCCATGAACTCCTGCCCCACCTGGTCCGTCAGCTCTCTCCCCGCTCAGCCCAGCCTCACGGAGCCCCGACGCCCCTGGGGTGCCAGGCGTGGGCACCTCTGCCAGGGCTGCCACATCCAGAGTCGCCGTGTCCTCGCCTCCTCAGTGCCAGGCCTGGGGGCAGCGCGTCCTCAGCGCACCTGTGAGGCGGGTGGCTTATCCCCATTTTACAGACGCATTAACTGAGGTTGTCGGAGGCCCACAGCCCTGGGCGAGCTCCCGGCCAGGAAGCCGAGTGGCCGCTTCTCCTCCCCTCTGTCTGACATGAGGCTCTGGTCCTGAACTTGGAGTAACACCCCCCCCCTCCTGGTTCCCCAGGCCTGTCTGGGTCCCACCCAGAGCCTTTCTCTGCTCTCTGAGCCCAGGGGCCTCCCTGCCCCCTCCGCCCCAGGGGCCTGCATGTGGGTGTGGGTCCCCGCCTCTCTGACTCAGGGCGATCCTGAGCTGGGTGTGGGCGTGGGTGGGGTGTCTGGCTTGGTGCTGCCCCCCCCCCCACATGATGGCCGTCTGCCCTGGGCCGGGTGGGGGCTGAGAAAGAAAGGGGATCCGTGGGCGTGTTTGGACAGTCGGGGCAGGAGCAGGAGAGAGTTTTTTAATCAGCGAACCCCCGGGCGCCAAGGGCTCCCCGCCAGTTAGCAGGCGGCACCCAGGTGACTCCTTCAGTAACTAAACGGGCGGATGCGCCTTCAAGGTGAGCCTGGCTGCTTCCCTGGCGAGCTGGGCGCAGGGGTACTGGGCTGGGCTCCCACGGCCCTCCCCCCCCACCTCTCCCTGCCGCCTGGCCCGTCACACCCGCTGAGATGCAGCTGAGCCTGATTGTGCCTGGTGCCAAGACCTCCCCCAGGGTCCCAGCCCCCAGGGTCCCAGCCCCCAGGGTCACACAGCCCCCCAGGGTCACACAGCCCCCAGGGTCACACAGCCCCCAGGGTCACAGCCTCCCCCCACCCAGGGTCCCAGCTCCCAGGGTCACACAGCCCCCCAGGGTCACACAGCCCCCCAGGGTCCCAGCTCCCAGGGTCACACAGTCCCCCAGGGTCCCAGCCCCCAGGGTCCCACAGCCCCCAGGGTCACACAGCCCCCAGGGTCACACAGCGAGCTGAGCAGGAGCAGAGCCGGGGGTTGAACCCGATCTGTGACCTGCAGAGGCCTTGCTCTTAGCTGCCCCCAGAGGTCTCCCCTTAGATCAGCGGTTCTCAACCTGTGGGTCTCGACCCCTTTGGCGGTCGAACGACCCTTTCACAGGGGTCGTCTAAGACCATCGGAAAACACGTATATAATTACATATTGTTTTTGTGATCAATCACTGTGCTTTAATTATGTTCAATTTGTAACAATGAAAATACATCCTGCATATCAGATATTTACATGACGATTCATAACAGTAGCAACATTACAGTTATGAAGTAGCAACGAGAATAATGTTATGGTTGGGGGTCACCACAACATGAGGAACTGTATGAAAGGGTCGCGGCATTGGGAAGGTTGAGAACCACTGGCTTAGATGAAGGCGTCGGAGGAGGAGGAGGAGGCGGCGGTGGGGTCTCTGTTGGCTTCTGGCCAGCGATCTCTCCAGGTCTGGGGGGACGGAGCTGGGGCAGCAGGCTGGGTCCCAGGCGAGGCGTCTGCAGACACTCAGTGAGGGGATTGCACAGGGCTTCCTGCCCGGGGTGGAGGGACGCATGGGAGCAGGCCGAGCCCCACGCAGCCTGGGCTGGGGTCACAG